AATTAAATCTATTCTAGCCATAAGTTTGTCTGAGATCATAATTGCTGCCCCTGCCTTTTTTCATCAGCTCATGTATGATAAATTCTACGTCAGCCCTCTATTTTAACTCTCTGTGTATCTCATTTTTAAATGTGTTTCTTGAAATAACATATTGTTGGATTCTGATTTTTAATCTGTTCTGCTATCCATTTCTGTTCTATGGGTGAGTTCATCCCATTCACATTCAAAGTTATAATTACTATTTGTGAATTTCTCTACGTCTTATTTTTACTCACTATTTTCCATTTCAGCCTCTCTTTTTACCCTGTCCCTGTTACCTTATCTTTTCCCCTTAGCCTCTTATTCCTTATTTTACCCACATCTCTAAAATTCCCTTCCTTATGTTCTCCCCTCACCCTCTTAATCTTACTCTATATACCCTTTTAAAAGTTCCTTGCCTACATTATCCCATAGTATTCTCACCTCTAGAAGTTCAGAAGTTTTCTAAACCTCTTCAGATGTACGCTTTATTTCCTCTTCAATCCAGATGACAGTAAGGTTCCAACATTACCAACCCTCCACCCCCACCTGTTTCCTCTATATTTGTTCTTCCTTTCATATCCTGTTTTTATGAGATAATGGCTCCTTTTTACCTTTTCCTACCCAATTTTGTTTTTTAGAGTCACCTTATACAAACTCAGCCACAACCTTTCTTTCAAACTACCTTAGTAATGATGACAGTTATAAGAATATTGATAATGTTTTCATATGGCATAAGTATAAGTTTAACCTTTATCAGTGCTATATAATTAGTATTTAATGATTACCTTATGTTTCCTCTAGAACTTAATGGAAATTTTGATACAAAAGATCTAGTCTTTTCATTACAAATACCTGAAAGTCTTTCAGTTCATCAAATGTCCATTTTTAAAATTTGGGATTATACTCAATTTTCCTGCATAAGTTATTCTTGGATACAATCCTAACTCCTTTGCTCTTCAAAATATAATGTGCCAAAACCTATGGTCTTGTAGAAGCTACTGTGTCTTCTGAAATCTTGATTGTTTTTCCACAGTATTTACATTGTTTTTTTCTTGTTGCTTGCAATATTTTCTCTTTAGCCTGGGGATTTTGAAACTGGACTATGACATTCTTGTGAGTTTTCTTCCTAGAATCTCTTTCAGGTAATGATTGGTAGATTCTTTCTATTTCTACTTTATGCTCTTCTTCTAGAACTTCAGAGCAATTTTGCTTAATAATTTCTTGTAACATCGCATCCAGATTCTTTTTTTTTTAATCATAACTTTTGGGTATTCTAACAATTCTCATATTGTCTCTCCTCTATCTCTTCTTTAGATCAGTTGTTTCTCTTTCATATTGTTTTCTATTTTTTTCTAGTTTTATTATATCTTGGTGTCTTATAATGTCATTCAATTCCACTTACTTGATTCTAGTTTTCTAGGAATTTTCTTTAAGATTTTGTATCTCCTTTTCTGACTGGTTAACTTTCTTTTCATAATTTTCTTGTATTGCTTTAATTTTTTTCTAATTTTCCCTCTTTTCTCTTTTTTTCTTCTTCTAATTTTCCTCCTCTTATTTCATTTTTGAATTCCTTTTTAAGTTCTTCAAAGATTTCTTTTTGGACTTGTGACCATTTGATATTATCCTTTAGAGTAGGCTTTTTTTTTTTAAACCTCACTGTCTTCCTGTGAATATGAACCCAGAACTTCTTTCATGCAAAAGTAGCTATCAGTGGTCAGTTTCTTTTTCCTTTGCTTACTGTAACATTTTTACTTTTAATGTCTTATTTTTATTTTAGCACCTTTATAGTATTATAATCAAGTTTTAAACCTGAGCTGTAGGTAATGTTGTCCTAGGCCCTTCTTACTGTTGTTTTCTGAATCTTGTCTGGGATCTCAACCTCAGGGAATCCTCTTGTCCTCCCCTAAGCTCTAGCCACCCTGTCTCAAAAATGTTCTTGCTCCCTTGCAGTATCACACTCACCAGGCTTATGCTTACTCCTTATCCAAAATCACAGTTGGGGGTCACATCTGGGCAGAACCACTTGACCTGGCTTCCGGGAACAACAATCTTCCCTCACTCAGAATCTGATGTTCTTGAGATGAACGTTCCTAAAGATTTCTGAGGTCAAATTTCTTGAGGCCTAGTCTACTTCTCTTTCAGGGCCTACTGTTGATTGATTCAGTGAATTTGACTTCACTCAGACCCAGCCTCACCCTCTGGAGTCTTTTTTTTTTGATAGCTTATTTATTTTTAGTTTTCGACATTCACTTCCGTAAGATTTTGAGTTTTAAATTTTCTTTCCTCCCACTTCTCTCCCCCACCCCTAAGATGGTGTACAATCTGATACAGGCTCTACATATACATTCATATTAAGCATATTTTCCCATTAGTCATGATGTAAAGAACAATTAGAACTAATGGGAGGAACCACGAGAATGAAGCAATAAAACAAAACAACAAAGGAAAAGGAGAGCAAATAGTATGCTTCCATCCACATTCAGATTCCATAGTTCTTCCTCTGGATGTGGATAGCATTTTCCATCATGAGTCTTTTGAAGATGTCTTAGATCCTTGCATTGCTTTGAATGGCCAAATCTATTAAAGTTAGTCATTGAACAGTGTGGCTGTTACTATGTACAGTGTTCTCCTGGTTCTGCTCATTTCACTCTTCCTTGGTTCATATAAGTCTTTCCAAGTTTTTTTGAAGTCTGCCTGCTCATCATTTCTTGTAGCACAATAGTATTACATTCATATGTATATTCAGCTGTTCTCCAATTAATGGGCATCCCCTCAATTTCCAATTCTTTGCCACTACAAAAAAAAACCTGTTATAAATATTTTTGTGCATGTGGGTCCTTTTCCCATTTTTATGATTTCCTTGGGATACAGACCTAGGAGTGGTTTTGCTGGATCAAAGGGCCCTGGAGTCTTTTCTGAGGTCCTCTCAAGAGTATGTAGGAGGACAACTGCTTTACCCTTTTATTCTTGCTACTCTGTGTTCATTTCATAGAGATTTTCTGTTTGTTTGTGGAGGAAATCGGGAGAGCCTGAAAGTTTCTGACAACCCCCACCAACTTCTCAGAATGCAACCCTCGTTTATAGTAGTTTATTCTTGATGAGAAAATATGAACCAATGATATAAGACTCAGTAAAGGGCTCTAATAGTTTCTTCCTTCTATTTCTTCAGTTCAGTAATTATTCATATATGCTGGGTAAATAATTCATAATTTTATTATGGCAGTAGCTTTATAATGTCATCAACATGGATATTCCCTCCATCAGTACAGATTGTAACTTATCCATGCCCCTTCATCCTCAACAATTGTTGGCCAAGTTCTCCCATCACAGATATATAACTCAAAAGATGGGAGTCCTCTGTATAGATGTTCCCCATAGTAGTGTATCAGGGCAAAGAGTAGTCACGGGACTGAGGCTTTGTACTGGACAAGGAACAGAAATAGAAACAAGTCACGGCTATGTAACTCTGTCCCAAGAGCCACTCTTAGATTTAGTCCCCAGCATATTTTAAGGCCTTTAAGTAGGACAAAGAGCTCAGAACAAGAACAAGACTGTAGTTTTGTCACTTTGAATTTACAGGTCCTTTTAACTTACTAACATGGGCTAGAGCCACCAGCAGCATACTGGAGCTTCAACCAGGGGCCAGCTTACAGTAGTGTCACCCAGACTCAAGCCAAGGTCAGGAGTTGCAAGCTCAGACCAGAAGGGTAGCAACTGGATTTTGCCCTAAATTAGTCAACTTTTGGTACACTAAAAGTTTTAAGATTCTCAGTCTTAGTCCCCATTCCTTTATCATGAAGATTCTTGAAAAACTCAGCATTTAATACTACTGGAGAAAGTAGAATCAGGATCCCAGAAAATACAATAAGGAATTATTAACATGTTGACATCCCCTCTAGACTGTGTGGCCCTAACAGAGTCTCAATTATGTAAGTAAAGCTGGAAAAAAAAATGAGTAAGCCAATACCTTGGTAGTTTAGGTTCAATATTGGAACAAAATGAGGAACTCAGGGATCCTTCAACAATTAATAAAAAGATGTACATAGTCATAGCAGAAGAAGGATATTCAACAAAAACTTGGAACTGAAATCACCTCCAGTTGATTCAGCCCTCTTGCTTTAATTGCCTATCATGATCTGCTAACCAAGCATCAGAGAGCTGAAGCTCTTAGTATGAACTTTATACTTAGATGATGAGGTCGTGGTGTTAGTAGCCCAGAGGATAGTATCAATACCTTTTAAAGAAAAACATAGTCTAATTTGCATGGGGGGCAGGGATTGGGATATTGCTTCTGCCACAATAGGGAAATCACTTTGCCAAAAGGTACCATAGGCAATAAATTAATATCAATAATTATCATATATGTAGTGTGTGACATAGCATCTAAATACTTCAAGGAAAAGCTGAACAAGTTACAGGTGAAAATAGGATTTCAATGTATACCCTGTCAGACCCAGATAAATCTAAATAAAAATTATACCAGAAATAATTTAAAGACCTAAATAAAATTCTAAAAAAGTTAAATATGATAAAATTCTGGTCATTTTTGAATGAGAATAGGAAGGAGAATACATATTTCTCAGCTGTGCATGGCACCTTTAACCTCCCCAACAAATGTAAAAAAAACAGTACTTTTAAATAACACTCTTTACAGAATAAAATGCAATAAATATATATTTAGTCAGTAAAAGACTTGAAAAAAGGATTAAAGATTAAAATTAATTTTGAGCAGAAGTCATAGAGATGTAGCTGTCTGATGAAATGAATAGAAAATGGAGATCAAAATTCTCTAGTATTTGATTCTCAATACAATTTATTTTATAACCATGTTTAACTGTTCCATTTATCTCTCTAAAATTTCTTTATCTGCAAATTGTGACTTGGGGGAAAATATTTATTTTATAACTGAACTAGAACAGCTTAAAGAAATAAGGCATTTGAAGTAAATTATCCTATCTTATTTTCTTTTTCTTTTTCAGGCTCCATATCTCACATCAGAAATGTGCTGTGTTGTCAGAACATCACCACAAATTAGATACACAGAGATGCCATGTAGCCCACCTAAAGGAATGTGCAAAGGTAGAATACCCTTTTTAAATGAGTTAATATTTTTCATGATAAATGAAGAATAGACTATCTCTTCTTTGTGGTTGGACACATTAACTTTATCAGGCATGTGTTAATGTGAAACTAGTATATGCACAACATTCTCCTGTGTTCTTGTAAAGGAACAAAGATAAGTAATATCCTAAACTCTTCATTGAGCTTACAATCTAAATGGAGATATGCCACATATACAAATAACTGGAATACAGAATAACTTATGATAGGAGAAGTACAAAGTACTACGCATACAAGATCCAAAAAGAGAAATAACATTTCTGATAAAAGTGGGGATGTGTGTGTGTCTGTGTCTGTGTTTAGAGGCAGGGCAGGGTGTGAAGGGGAATTCTGTTTGGTCGATTCTTGGAATAGGTAACCTTTAACTGTGTCCTGAAAGATGACGTGACCATTTGGAATTGGAAGGATGATATTCCAAGAATACAGATTTTTATGAGCAAAGACATGGAGGTTGTAGAGTATGTTATATGGGTTAGTTGTAGTCCATTTGGGTTGTCATTAGTATGTTGAGAAACATCACTAAGGTTGCTTTAATTTGTCCTCGATCAATTTTGTTACTTGTACACAAATGAATTTTTTCAAAAAATCTTGGGGCCCAATATATACAAGATATTATAGATGAAATTTCCTTCTTTGTGTAGTTTTGAATGTTCAGATAACTTTGAAAATAAAAGAAATCTCCAGTATCAATACAGCAGGGGCAAAATGAGAGCAGCAGCTATGCCTTCAGAATTTAATGTCTTCAGAGGGTATTGATGGAACTAATTAAGAAAACAAAAGAGGACCTAGAATTGAATTATTTCTATTCTAAGAGTGTTGAGAAGGAAAAGAGAAGGAATAGTAATGTGGAATACACTAGTGTAGAAAAAAATAAGGGAATGGTTACTGTATTTCATAATTGGGTACACAAGAAGAGTATACAAACATGGAGGAACATATGGGGAAAGTCAGTATTAGTTGAACTTCATTTTTACATAGACTAGGCAAATGAGGGTTCATCACACATACATATACTCTAAGATACAAAGAGGTTTAGAAGTATGTCAGTTCTCCTTTAAATGCTTATTTTTAAAATATGAATTTGTTCCAACATGATTGATTTATTAGGGATTGATTTGCATGATTTTGTCTGTGAGAAACAGAAAACACAAAAAACTTCACCCACTTGAATAAAACTGAATGAAAATACAAAACACATAAAGGCACATGCCTTCAACATCTTCCAGTTATCCTACAAGGTTGTATTTCATTATTCTTTTACGTTTGTGAAGTGTTCCATGTGTTAAAAAAATACTTATCCAATATTCCAAATGTGTCTAAGTGTACACTGATTGTACATCTTCTGGTGCAGTAGGAGTTATGGGCAGAAGAGGGCTGGTTCACACCCAGAAACTCCACCACAATCCCTTGACCTCACACATGTACCTTCCTCCATGGTTGAGTTCCTCCCATCTTACCCACAGCAGCCCAAGGCCATTAATGCTACTACTATTTATTGCACTAGTTATGTATTTCTTAACCATTTAACCTGGAGGGGCATATGGGTGTGAGGGAAAGCTAGTACCTCTAATGTGAGGGCTGCCAAGCCTTTTTCAGGGCTGTTTATCCACCTGTGGTGTCACCTGCCACCCAGCTTTTACCTGTGGCTCCAAGAAGCTTTAGCATATGCAGTGGCCACACACTGGTAGACCATTTTAGTAGATAGGCTAAGACAGATTGATGGTAACCAAAAGGTCTCAGATCTGTCAGTGAGTTAGGGAGGTGTCCACCCTAAGCCTGTGAAGATTTCCCCCAGTGAAATGGGTGGGTATGAATGATTTGTTCCAACAGGTCAAGAAGGTGGTAGAAGCAGGCTCTGTGGAATGCTTAGAGCTTAGTTAGATATTGAGGATACCAAGGTCATCCACTGTATCCTGGGCTATCACCAGTCATATTGATTTTTGCCTTTGCACTGGAGTCCAATGACTGGAAGAGAGAGTGAGGCCAACAACTTCTCACAACTCTGCCTCACTTAAATCCAGTTTATGTGTGAACCAGAAGACGTCACCCATACCATTTTACCATTTTTACTGATCTCAAAGTCCTGTGGTGACAGGCAAATGATGGAGCAACAGGTGTGGAAATACTGGGATCTATAGTCACAAGCAGAGGCAGCCCAGGACATAGCATTGCCTTCTCACTGGACTGAAACAGCAGTGGGATTCAGAAGCCGCCTGGGTGTCTGCACAACCATTTCAAAGGACCATATTGCTCAGCTCCTGGCATGAGGAAGGAACTAGACAAGGTACTCTACAAATTGTCTGCTTCACTCAACCCTCGCCTGCTTACCACAGCAGGTGGGGATCAAAAGACAAAAAAAATGTGCAAAAACTTTTGCAAAGGTGATTCCACTCAACATTGACACATGCTTATTGACAACACAAAATCCATTAAACTTGAAAGACATCCAACTCTTGTTGTGAGAAAACTTAACAGGTATCACATCAAAATAGCAGTCTGAGTGACACAAGGCTGGCAAATGACTTTGGCTTACCAAAGTCAGAGCTGGATATGGTTTCTTTTCTGGAGTGGCCACAGTGATGCAGAACACCGTGAAGCTGGCATAGGTTTCACGATCAAATCTAATCTAGTCAGCAAGCTTGTATGGCTTCTAAAAGTAGTGAATGATAGACTCCTGACAATGTGGTTGCCACTTGCAGGAAAGCGCTGTGTCACCATCATCAGTATTTTATGTTCCCACTATGAAGAACCCTGATGAAGTCAAAGAAAAAATTTATGAAGATCTGGAGACCCTCATCATCGTTGTGCCAAAAGAGGACAAGCTAGTATTCTGAGTGACTTTTAAAGCCAGACTAGGCACAGACTATCACACATGCCAGATAGTCCTTGGGAAGAATGGAGTTAGAAACAGTAACACTAATGGTCACTTACTACTAAAGACTTATGTGTCTCATGAACTTCTCATCAGCAACACTGACTTCTCTTTACCTAAATGCAATAAAACTTCTTAGATGTACCCTAGCAACAAACATTGGCATTTAATAGGCTATGTTATTTTAAGAAGAGAAAGACGAGATATGAGAGTAATGAAGGCAATACGTGGTACAGAGTGCTGGACTGATCATAGACATATCCTCTCTAAGCTAAACATTGTCATTCTATAAAATGGTGGCCTCAAGGCAAGACAAGTACCAGAAGACTTAATGTCAGTAGATTACAGTAATTCTCCCAGCATGAATAGTTTGTTACTAACTTGGAGGAAAAGCTGAGCCAACACATTGTTGGCCAACAGTGGAGCAGAAAAGGAGTGGGAAACTTTCAAAGGTTTGATATATAACACCATGTTTACTCATCTAGGCCAGATCACTTACAAACATCAGGATTCGTTTGATGAAAGTAATGGTAAAATTGAGAAGCTGCTAAACAAAAAACAAGCAATCCCTAGGATTTACCAGCAGGATAGTATGCCCAAAGGATTCTTGGTTCAGTAAGAAAGCAGATGACATTCAATTTTATGCCAATAGTATCAGTCTAAAGCACTCTTATGATACCTTGAAGACTATTTGTGGGCCCAAGACCTATGGTGCATCTCAACTACTCAGTGCTGATAGAGCCACATTGATTAATGATAAGGACATGATCCTGGGGAGATAGACTGAACATTTTCATAGTGTTCTTAACAGACCATCATAAATCAGTATTGAAGCCATTGACCATATGTATACCTCATGTTGAAATCATTCACTTTCTAGCCAAACTTCCTACGGAAGAAGAGGTTTTGAATACCATTAGGCTCCTCTTGTATGGCAAAGTGCCTGGTACTGATTATATTCCAGCTGAGATCTACAAGGCAGAGGGTCCACTGCATATATGAAAGCTAACTGAAATGTTCTCAGTTATATGGGAAAAGGAGGATATCCCCCATGAAATCAATAATGCCTCCATTGTCTCATCTCCATAAAGAAAATAGAAATAGATTGGCCTGTGACAATCACAGGGTGAGAAGGGCTCTCTCTTAGTCACTGCCAGCAAGATTCTTGCTATAGCCCTCCTTAATAATCTGATCCTTCTCCTGGGAGATAGTCATCTACCCCAAGAACCAGTATAGTTTCAGAAAGGACTGAGGAATGACTGATATAGCGTTTGCTGCCCAACAACTCCAGGAGAAATGCCAGGAACAGAATAGAGCTCTGTACACAATGTTCACTGATTTGACCAATCCCTTTGATACTGTCAGTTGTAAGGGCTTGTGGAAGATCATGGCAAAACTTTGTTACATGAAGAAGCTGAGCAGTATCATAAGTCAGTTTCATGATGGCATGCTTGCCCAGCTTCTGGATAAGGGATAATGCTCTCACACTTTCCCAGTCACCAATGGAATGGAGTGAGGTTGTGTGTTTGCTCCCATGCTTTTTATCATAATGTTTTCAGTGATGTTATCAGACACCTTCAATAAGAATGAAAATGACATCACGGTCAACTACCACACTGATGGTAAATTATTTAATTTGAAAAGGCTACAAGCCAATGCTACAGTGGAGGGAGAGTTTGTGCATGAGCTTAAAAGATGTATGCTATCTTCTAAAAGGGAATTTTAAAGAATAAACATTTCTAAGCACTACATGGCACCTTTGCAAAAATAGATCATGTACTGTGGCAAAGAGAAATTACAAATATAAAAAAGAAGAAACCATAAGCCCTTTACAGATCAAAATTCAATAGAAATAATAAACAGTGTAAAGATCAGAAGCAAAAAATACAGACCTAAATGGAGATTTAATAATAGAATCATGAACCATGAATGAGTCAAAGAACAATCAGAGTATCAATTAAGAACTTTGTAAAAGACAATATTTTTGATGAGACAATATACCAAAATTTCTGGGATGTGGCTAAAGCAATTTTCAATGAAAAATTTATATTTCTTAAAAACATATATTAACAAAGTAAGGGGAAAGGGGATTAATGAACTTAATTTGAAATAAAAAAAAATTAGAAACCTAACAGATAATCCCAAAATAAGCCGGAAAAAATTACAATTGGTAGAGAAATAGATAATGTAGAAACTATAAACAATGTTGAACTAGTAAACAAAACTAAAAGCTGGTTCTTTGAAAGAACTAAAAAAAATGGAGAAACCAGCCAAAAAGAGGGAGAAAAATCAAATTATAAAATAAAAAATGAACAAAGTAAAATCACAATATATGGAGAAGAAATTTTTAAAATTTAAAAATTATTACATATGAAAAAAAATGATGATTTAAAAGAAGATTCTCTCTGACACTGCCACCACCCTGGGGCAGGCCCTCATCACTTTATGCCTTGAGTATTGCAATAGCCCACTGATGGGTCTTCCTGCCCATTCCAATCCCTCATCCATTCAGCCAGTGTTATGTTTAAAAATTAAGGTAAGCAGAAACAGTTATCTGAGCATGATCAGTTTATTATTTAGGCTAGCAATAACCCATAAATTGCATCAATGGCTTCTCTCAATAACCAAAGACCCCTAGGTAGGGCTTACCAGCCTTGTCACTTGATATCAGCTTGGTGTGAGTGGGGGGAATCATTAAAATCTCTGATGAGGGGCTAATAACCAACTTACAGCAAACGAAAACATATAGAAATATCCTTCAACAAATCACTATATGACTCTTGGCTCAAAGGGCCATTTGCATTGGGCAATCCTCATTGGTGAAGATTGATTACTTGGTGCTCCATGCCTATGTGAAGGGTGGAATTGGTGAGAATTGGGAGAGAAGAGAGCCTCTGGTCTTCTGACTTCCAGCTTCAAGAGAGAAGACATGGTTTCAGGCTCTTTTCAGGTCCCTGAAGGGAGAGAAGGATTCTAGGAAGAAGCTAACATGAGCCAAGTGTTAGCTTCTCTACATGGCAGCTTCTTTCCAGTCTTTCTCTATTGTCTGGTATACTCCTATGTATACTTTCTCTGGGTTCTGTTTTGCTATGACTTGGATCAATGAGTTTCTTTTCTATTCACTTTGTGTGTTCATTGTGGAACTAGTATTTGATGGGAAAGGGGTCAAACCTTGTATATAGAGCTTGGGGTCCCTCTACCCTCAATAATAGGAAACTGTGATCAGAAATTGAATTGAACCTAGTTCTAACAATATTTAAGGGAACAAAGAGGTATGATTCTTTTCTAGTACCCCTTCTCTTTGAGGAGAGCAGAGTGGCTGCTGACCCCAAACTCCTGTTTCCCCTCCTGGCAGGAATAAAAGTCTTCCTTAGAGAATGGTGGAGGGACAAGAGGTTAGAGATGTCTATTATGCCTTTCTTCAAGACACACAAATGTATTCCTATGCTACAGGTTGGGGGCTTGTCTTTACATCCATTTGCTGAATTTAATGCTATTTCTCATAAATACCTGTGGTCAATCTTATCCTTATGTTGCCTCTTGACCCCGTTTGTAGCATGAGAGACAGTTACATACACCTAGAAGTAGCTCTCCTAGCACAGGGCTGAGATCTCAACCACCTATCCATTTGTGCTCTCTTACTGAGGACATAAGCACAAGACATTCAAACTGTACGACCAAGTACAAAATCCCTACAAATTTGGTCCTCCTTTATAAATCTGCCCTATAGACATGTGCCTAAAAGTAACTAACTATTACATAGAATAGTATTCTTTCTTTTTGCCACTGGCTGGTTCTATCTACTGCTTGGTGTGACTTTCTGGCTATGACTCTCTCTGGCTCTTAGATATACCTGTTCTTCCTCTTTGTCTAGATCTCTCACTTTGGTGCATACTTTCAACGCTCTGGCTGAGTTCTGAGTGTTTTCATGCTTTTTCTACCTGTTTCTCATTTACTGGCTCTTTCTCATTCTCTGTCACTTTTTATCTAGATTTGTGCTTTTTCTCTCCTTTTCCTTTTACTGTCTCATATTCTCTCCCACTATCCCCTCTCCTTTTTCTTCTCCCTGTCTCTTCCTGGGTGTATCTATACCTGGATGATGGCATTGCTACCATCATTCTCAGTGTTCACTCCCACCTAAGAAAATTAGATAAAATAAAACAAAATTAAAATGCTTGGCTTCCAACCCTAGGATGCCAGCTTTGTCCTTTTCTTGCCCAGAATCAGACATCCATGCCACTTCTGAACCATATACATGGCATGCTGCCTCCCCCTCTCGCCCCTTTCCAACCTCCCTTTGTGTTATCTTTCTGTTTTAGAATGTAAGCTTGACTACTTATATTTGTATCCCCAGCCCTTAGCACAATGCTTGACACATAGTAAGCACTTAATAAATATTCTATGCATTTCTTCAAAATAGAAAAATTGTGGCACAATGTAAATTAGGTGATTTTGTAGATTTTGCTTTTTGCAGATTTTGTTCACACCTGTGAACAAAACAGTGAATCTAGGTTTATACCACAGAAGCCAGACAGACAACCAGATGATTTTTTTTTTACTTTTCAGTGAGTTGTTTGGTGCCACTTAATGACAATGTAATCATACATTTTTGTGTTCAAGCAAGCTTGGTAATCAGCCATTTTTATGACAAAATCATGGTTTGTATACTTAGTTTTAAACTGGAATTCCTGAGAATTATTCTGGAGTAACTTTCTGCTCTCTGTCTTTCCCATAGATATGGTCAAGAAGCAAGTGGATAAAGAAAAATTAAAAACTAAGGGGAGAGTGGATACAATTGAAGGGACAAGCAACCAGTGGAGAGAAGAGGTGATGGAATCAAGGGCTCAAGTAGAGAGAGCTGTCACTGCCAAGGTGAAGAGAGACTTTTCCTACAATATTGGAATAGAGCAGGATAGATTGGGAGTAGTAGGGGTGATAATGAGGTGATTTGAAGCATAAAATTTAAGAGGACCTTGCAAAATTTGAAATAATAAAAATTCATTGAATTAATGAATAAACTATAAGCTGGTTTGGAGGGAAATAAAATAGATAAACCACTAGCTAATTTGATTCTTAGGAAAAAATAGAGCGAATCCTAATTACTAATATTAAAAATGAAGTAATGATGATTCAAAATAAATGAAGGAGAAATTAAGGAAATAATTCATATTTCTTTTGCAGTATGCCAATAAAACTTCAATTGAAATGAAATTAGTGTTACATAAAAACAAAATGCCCTGAATGACAGAACAAGTTATAGAGAATTTAACTCAATATCAAGAAAAGAAACTGAACAAACTAAATGAATTTCCAAAAGAAAAAACCTAGGACCAGAGAATTTACTAGTAAATTTTATCAAACATTCATAGAACAATTTATTTTTCAAAATTATTTTATTTTGTTAATTACATTTAAATTAGATATAATTTATATGTACATAATTTTAACAATTTTTTAAAAATTTTGAGTTCCAGCTTCTCTCCCTCCCTCTCCTACTCTCCTCTCCTTCAGAATTCAAGCAATTTGATATCAGTAATACATGTGAAGTCATGGCAAAACATATTTCCACATTAGCCTTCAAGAATAATTATTTTCAATATTATATGAATTCATTGCAGAAATAGAAACATAAGGGATGCTATTCATTTCCTTCTATGATACAAATATGGTCTTGATACCTAATCTTGATACTTAAACCATGGAGGGATAAAAAGGAGAGCAAAAAAATGATAGACCAATGAATATTGAAGCAAAATTTTTAACTAAAAGGTTATAGCAACAAATTTTAAAAATGCTAGGACCAGGTGAAATTTACACCAGGAAAGCAGGGTTGTCTCCCTATTAGTGTATATGTATCAATCAATTAATACACATTTATTAAAAACCTACTATATGCCAGGCACTATATTAAGCACTGGGGACACAGAAAGAGGCAAAATACAGTCCCTACCCTCAAGCGGCTTAACAATCTAATGGGGAGAAAACAGGCAAACAAATATATACAAAGCAAGCTATAGTCAGGATAAATAAGAAATAATTAACAGAGAGATAGCACTAAAATTAAGAGGGGTTGGGGAAGACTTCCTGTAGAAAATGGGATTTTAGTTGGGACTTAAAGCCGAGGAGGTAAGCAGGCAGAGTGAAAGATGGAAAACATTGCAGGGATGGGGACAGCCAGAGAAAATGCCTAGAGTTGAGAGATAGAATGTCTTCTTCATAGAACATCCAGGAGACTAGTGTCACTGCAAAGAGTGTATGTTGGGGATAAAGTATGAGAAGACTAGAAAGGTAGAAGGAGGTTAGGTTATAACAGCCTTTGAATGCTAAACCATTTGAATACCAAATCCATTTTGGATTTGATCCTGGAAACAATAAGGAGCCAATAGGGTTTATTGAGTAGGGGTGTGACGTGACTGGACCTGCACTTCAGGAAAATCACTTCATTGGTTCAATAGAGGATCGATTGGAGAGGGGGGAGACTTGAGGCCAAGAAACCTACCAGGAGGCTGTTGTAGTAGCCCAGCATGAGGTGATGAGGGTCTGCACCAGAGCGGTGGCAGGGTTAGAGGAGAGAAGGAGGCATTCTCAAGAGATGGTCGAAAGGTGAAATCAACAGATTGGATATAGGGAATGAGAGATGGTGAGGAGTGCAAGATGACTCCTAGATGGTGAGCCTGAGGGACTGCGAGGATGATATGGCCCTCTGCAGTAATAGGGAATGTAAGAGGGGTAGAGGGAAGGGTAAGGGGAAAAGATCATGAGTTCTATTTTGAGTATCCTAAGTGTAAGATGTCTACTAGACATCCAGTTCGAGATGTCTGTAAGGTCATTAGAGATGTGAGATTGGAGGTCAGCAGAGAGGTTGGGGCAGGATAGGTACAAATGAGAATCATCATTAAATCCATGAGAACTAATGGCATCACCAAATGATGTACTATGGAAGGAAAGGAGAAGAGGGACCAGGACAGAATTCTGAGGGACACTTGTGGTTAGAGCATATGATCTGGAAGAGGATCCAGCAAAGGAGATGGAGAAGGAATGTTCAGAAAAATAGAGCAAGAACCAGGAAAGAGTGGTATCCTGAAAATCTAGTGAGAAGCAGGTATGAAGGAGGAGAGTGTAGTCAATAGCGTCAAAGCCTGCAGAGAGATCAAGGAGAATGTGGGTTGAGAAAAGGCCATTGGATTTCGTAACTAAGAGATCATTATTAATTTTGGAGAGAGCAGTTTCAGTGGACTGATAAGGTTAGAAGCCAAATTGTAAGAAGTTAAGGAAGGCATGAGGGGAGAGAAAGTGGGGACATGTATTGTAGGTGGCCTTTTTGAGGAGTTTAGCTACAAAAGGCAGAAAAAAATACGATGTAATAGAGTTAGAAAGATCAAGTGAGAGCTTTTTTTCGGGATGGGGAAAACATGTTTGTAGGTAATAGAGAAAGAGCCAATAGTCAGAAAGAGAAGAGGTGACAATCTGTTGGAGGAGAGGGCATGGAGTGGGATCACTTAAACAAGTCATGTTGAAGAGTAAGGCCACTTTATCATGTGAGACAGGAGTGAAGGAGAGAAAGTGGCAGAAGGCATATGAATGAAAAAGAGGGGAGAAGAGGGAACTTCTCAAAAGTGTTCCAACTCCCCTGCCTCGACCAGTGAGCTGAGGAGAGTAAGTGAACATGTAGCTAGTACTGGAAAGTCTGGAAAGGGAGAATGTGTCCTTAGCAGGGAGCCAAATTTCAGAAATAAAGAGGTTGAAGAAATTCTGAGAGAAAAAGAATTAAGATGAAGGGAAGTTTGTTGCCTGTAGAACAGCCATTCCAGAGGGCACAATGGAAGGACTGGGTGATGTTTGAAACTTTGGAATAGGAGAATTGAGGAGGGTGGGAATGAGAAGTCAAGTGGAGGGGATGGGGAATGAGCTTTGGCCGGTGATCTATAGGGGTTCAGAGATACTTGGATGTGAAGAGTATGATATGTCCATCATTGAGTAAAGGACACCAGCCCTTTTCCCAGCAGAGTTTGGAGATCAGGCTGGAGGCAAGTATAATATGAGATGGAAGAACCCACTTTGCAACTCTTCCTTTCAAAGGCTGGAGATTAAGTAAGAAAAGGGTGCAGTTAGAGATGGAAGTTAAACCTGTGTAGCAGGAGAAAGCAGTCCCATTCCCCACCATCTTTGCTCTTCCCTCAGAGGACAGGAGCAGCAGGAGAAGGAAGGTCTGAAGTCAAAGGGTAGGTTGTTCCTCTTTTCATCATAGATTCCACAGCCCTTTTGTGGAGATTGGGCTGGCATCAGGAGGTAGAAGTGGTGCTGGCTATGCAGATGGAAATTGTTGCTTAGGGGAGGTGGAGGGTGCCTGGTCTGGCCCCTTGTAGTTGGAAGACATAAGGCACTCCTGTAATTTGAGAAACTGTGGGGAGTTGGCTATGAGGCAGCAACAGGAAGTGGTAGATTCCCTTCACAGGGGGAAGTCCTTTGGGCAGATGGAAGCTGCTTGGCCTGGCCCCTTGTAGCCTCCCCTCAGGGGGCATGCTATGTGTGTATGCATGTGCCAAGACACACAAAGGAACTCTATAAATACAACTACAAAACATTCTTCATAGAAATAAAGACATATCTCAATAAATGGAGAAATACTAATTGCTCATGGCTAGGCTGAGAAAAATAATAAAAATAACAGTACTGTCTAAGTTAATTTACTTATTATGTGCCATGTCAATCAGACTACCAACAGATAACTTTATGGGGGAAGAGGGGAATTCATCTTGGCAAAAAGTTAAGAATCTCAAAGGAAATTAAAAAAAAAACTGGGAAAGAAGGAGGCCTAGCATTATTAGCCTAGATCTCAGGCAACAATTATCAAAACTGATACTGGTTAAAAAAATAGAGGTCCTTCTGAAACAGGTTATATATACAACATACAGAAGCAAACAGACTTAGTGGCCTACTATTTGGTAAATCCAAAGTCCCTAACTACTAGGATAAGAACACATTATTTGATAAAAAACTGTTAGGAAAACTGGAAAGCAGTCTGGCAGAAATTGAGTTTAGACCAATATCTCATGCCATATATCAAGATAAGTTCCAAATGGATACATGACTGAGATATAAAAGATCATATCATAAACAAGTTAGAGGAACAAGAAAGATATTATATTTCAAATCTTTGACTGGGGGAAGATTTCATAAACAAACAAGAGATAGGGAGATAAGATAAAAATAAGATAAAATGGAGGATTTTTATAACACAAAAATTTTAAATATTTTTATAAACGAAACCAATTCAGTTAAAATTAGAAGGAACATAGTTACCTGAGGAAAGGACATCTCTGCAGCAAGTTTCTCTGATAAAGGTTTTATTTCTAAAATATATAAGGAATTTGTTAAAATTTATAAGAACAAGAGCCATTCCTCAATTAATAAATGGCCAAAGGATATGAACAGGCAGTTTTCAAAGGAAGAAATTGAAGCCATTAATAACCATATGAAAAAACATTCCAAATAATTAATAAGTAAATGTGAATTAAAGCCATTCCCAAGTTCCACCTCATACCTACCACATTGGCAAAGTAGGCAAAAAAAATGGCAGATGTTGGATGAGCTATGGAAAAACAAGCATATCAATGCACTATTGGTGGAACTGTGAATTGATCTATCCATTCTAGTGAGTAATTTAGAACCATGGCCCCACAGTCATTAAGCTGTATATAAACTTTGACCCATTACTAATTCTGTACCTCAAAGAGATCCAAAATAAAATAGGAAAAGAATCCATATGTATGAAAACATGTATAGTGGTTCTTTGTGTAATGGCAAAGAACTGAAAACTAAGGTGAAGCCTATCATTCAATCACTGAACAAATTATGGTACTTGAATGTAATGGTGTGTTATTGTACCATAAGAAATGAAAGGGATGATTTCAAGAGAAACCTGGGAAGACATATAAATTGCTACAGAGTAAAGTGAACTGAACCAGTAAAATAATTTATACAATAATAAAATGTAACAAAAAACAACTTGGAAAGACTTAAAAACTCTTAGTGTAATAACTGTGGCACTTCTAAAGGAATGATTATAATGTATACTTTAATAATGGATTCAAGATGCAGAATGAGACATGTGTTTTTAGACATGCCCAGTATGGAAGTTTGTTTTGCTTCATGATTCATATTTATGATTGTTTCTTCTTTCTAAATAGGGAGTTGCAAGGAGGTGCAAGAGATGGGAGTGGGGAATAGGGATAGGAAGAAACAAAAGAATATGAGTATAGAATAGAAGGAAAGCCAAAAGAGTCAAAAATAAGCAGGATGAGTTTGAAAGTTACGTGTTAAATGTATTACATTAAAAAAAAGCTCTGTATCATATATTCATAGTTTCATGTACAATCCCCTCCTTCAGTTCTATATTGGATATAGAAATGGTCATTTTATTTGACATTTCTTGAATTCCTAATTTGAAAGGGTAGAGAAATTATCTTTTAAAAGGTATTTGCCATGAATAGCCTCATTTTTATGGAAGAGACACTACAGCAAAGTTGTCCATTAAGCTAATTTTCTGTAAAGTGAATTACAATTTTCCCACTGAATTCCACAATCAAATTAGAGATAATGTCCCGTTTTTTAAAAATCCACAATAGAATAGTTTAGAACTGTTTTACTTGAGAAAGGGGTGAAAATGAGCTATCTATTTTGAATATCTGTCAGTCATGACAATGCAAAACAAAAGTATTAGCCTACCTAGAAGAGTTCTTTAGTATGTCTTTTCTAAATGTTATATATTTTTGGGCTTCTAGTCCTGTCTAGGTAACTATTCATCCTTCTCAAACTATAGTAATTTCTCCAATGATTAAAGAACTTCATATACAAAACTCATCTCCTTTACTTTTGGCACAGGTGTTTTGTAAACTCTTAACAGTCATAGTGTAACATTCTACTTTGCCAATAGGTGGTTTCATTGAAACAATGGTTTCTTGCCTCCTTTGTTTCTTTTGGTGAATGTTTCTTTAAAAAGTGATTCAACTCTTTTCATGTGACTTACCTGGCAATGGCAAGTAAATATAATTAGATAAATTACATTTAATTGTAATCAACTCAGTCAACTTCAGTTTCACTACAGAAGTTGAAATTCTCCAATAACTCTGCATGCAACTTCAAAAAATAAAAGACATTCCCAGAAGTGCTTAAATGGTCTGTCACTTACTATTCTAGTTCTGGTTGCCCAAATGAAATCTATTCTGCCATTGGGTGTGTGACCTGTGAAGGATAGCATATCCACAGCCCTAGAAATTTGTTGTTCAGTTGTTTCAGTCATGTCCCACTCTTTGTGACCGACCCCACTTGGGGTTTTCTTGACAGAGATACTGGAGTGGTTTGCCATTTCCTTCTCCAGCTCATTTTACAGATGAGGAACAGAATTTTTTTTTGTTTTGCTTTTTTGGTGAGGCAATCAGGATTAAGTGACTTGCCCAGGGTCACACAGCTAGCAAGTGTTTGAGGCCAGATTTGAGCTCAGGAATATAGTCTTCCTGACTCAGACACTGTACCACATAACTACAACCCTAGAGATTGGACCAATTCTAAGATCTAATTCAAATTCAGGTCCAGCTCTATGAATGTACAATTGACTTTAGAAGAACTGTAATGGTTTGTATATAGTACATACTTAACTAAGTGTTTGTTGAATTGAAGGCATATTAGATTAGACTGAAAAAGATATCTACATCAATTTTCCATTTTAATTCAGCCTACACAGGAGCATTCTGGATTAAACAAGTGCACAGGTAGTACTGTGTGAATGTCCTGTTTGATAAACTGAAGGGAAGGGCTGTTCAAATTGGGAAGTCTCCCAAATTATGTGTAAGTACAGGTATCCTGCTGTCCACTGCCATCCAGGCCTGTGCTTCCAGGATGGAAGATAAGAGAAGATGTAGTTGTTAGAGATATACCCCATGACTGTCCATTTTAGGGAATATGGGTTGCCACAATTCATGCCCCCCCCCAGTTGGTTGATCACACACTGCTTGAGATCAGGCCATGGACCACCAGGGGGCCTAAGCCAGTCAGTCAACAATCAATTAAACAAACTTTTATTAAGTGCCTACTAAGTTCCTTAGACTATGCCAAGCACTGTGGATACAAATACAAGCAAAAAGGCAATGCATACACTCAAAGAGCTAACATTATAGTGTGTGAAGGCAATACATAAAGAGAAGCCAAAAATGGTTGAGGGGAAGTGCAGATGCCTGGATGGGGGCATGGAAACTACATCTGGAGAATAAGAAATGGCTAGTCTGGAGTCCATCCCCCAAATGGAAAGAACTCAGCAGTAGGAGAAAGGGCTTGCAGGAGGAGACCCAGGAGGCAGGTCAGGCAAAGTGGCCAAGTCCAGAGAATGATGACCTGGGGCCTTTTTCCAAAGTGGAGAACTAAACAATAGGAGAAAGGGGACTGCTAGAGGAGATTCAGGAGGCAGCTGAGGCATAGAGGTTTGGTCCAGAGAATGATATATGGCTGGATTAGAGTATTCCTCAAAATGGAAATTTGGTGAACAATTAACCAATAAGAGAAAGGGCCTTCAAGAGTCTCTTTGGAGATCACTGGTGTAACACTTTGGTGTGTGAGAGTTGGCCACTGAGGGATAGCAGTTAACAAAACTATTGCTACTCACAAGGGAAGGAGAATAGATGGCAGTAGGGAGTGTAGTCTGCAGCCTACATTGCCTGTAGTCCTTGAGTAGTATAGAGTGGGAGGAGGGGCATAGGGGACAGGGTTCTTCACGTATACCACGCAACAATGCCATAGTATCAATTCTTCCATCCCTCAGGACTCAAAACTTAAATTAAGTTTTAGGCAAAGAGCTTATGTGACACTAAAAGGAGATTGCCTCATCATTTATAGATGAAGATAGCCGTGTATTTGGGACCAGTGAAAAGAGGATATTTTCTTTTCTTTTTTTTTCTTTTCTTTTGAAAAGAAGATATTGTCTAAATTACCTAATAAGTAGTAGGGAGTAAGGGTAAGGGTTGAACGGAATTTTTTTTTTTTGGTGAGGCAGTTGGGATTAAGTGACTTGCCCAGAGTCACACAACCAGTGAGTGTTATGTGTCTGAGACTGGATTTGAACTAATGTCTTCCTGATTTTAGGGCCTGTGCTGTATCCACTGTGCCACCTAGCTGCTCCCAGTTGAAGGGAATTTAACTCTTTGCAGTTAGTCTAGAGACTAAGGGAGGGTGGGTTAATGCCTAGAGTTACATACTGAGATGGTATCAGTTAAACTTGTTTTCATTGGCTCACAAACGCATAATGGAATTTAAATAAACTTTGGTAATGATTACTTTGTTGCACTTGTGGTTTTATGGCAGAGGCCCAGGTAAAGTTGCAAAGTGGATGTTTCTTGTCCTTAGGGCTGTCTCATCTATCCTTCTGCATACTTCAGAGACTTAGTGGCAGTCAAAATCTTTATTCTGCTTTTGGCTTCACCCTTTTTTCAAAAAAAACAACCCTCTACATTTGCATTTCATCTGCATGCTTTAGAATTTAGATTCCAGGGGCAGCTAGGTGGCACAGTGGATAGAGTACTGGCTCTGGATTCAGGAGGACCTGAGTTCAAATGTGCCTCAAACACATAACACTTAGTAACTCTGTGACCCTGGGCAAGTCACTTAACCCCATTGCAACCCCATTGCCTAGCCCAACCCCCCCAAAAAAACCCCAAATAACAGATAGAATTTAGATTCTATACCCCTCCCTAAAGAGAGCTTCTATTCCCTCTGGTAATTTAGACTGAGATGTGAATAACTAATAGATAAACTTAGATAGAACATTCAACAGAAACAGATTTCCAAGAGATAAAATACGTTTGAGACCTGTTTCTGAACAAAGGAACCCTTCCTGAATAGCTCTTGAGTATAGTGGAAAGAGTGTTAGGTTCATATCAAGGAAAAAATCTGGATTTGAATCCTAAAGATGATGTTTACAAGCTGTGTGACTAGGTTTAAGCCACTTGGTTTCTCTGCTTCTGTCTCCTTTTCCATTATGTATTTTTTTAATCTACTGCTTTAGCTCACAAAGTTTATGAAATAATGGATGTATAGGGCTTTGTTAATCTGAAAGGCTCCGCAAGTGTCAGCTGTTCTTTAGGATCACTCCCACCCTGTTCTCACACCATTCCCATCCCTGATACACACAGCATACCAGGAGACCAAAGATCAGAAACCTGACTCCCTGGTAATGAAAAGTTATCCAATCTAGGTATAAAAATTCTCTGGAGAATATGATTTAACATTCAAGGGATTATTTTTCCCCAGATATGGAGTTGCCTGTTCATTTGAACAGAAAATGGAGATCAAAAGTCTCCAGTATTTGATTCTGAGTAGAATTTATTTACATATAACCACATTAAACCATCCATTTTCTCTGTCTCTAGTTTCTTCATCTCAAACTGTGACTTGGGAAGATTGTTTATTAGAACTAAAGCAACATGAAGAAATAAGGCATTTGAGATAAACCATATTTTTTCTTTTTCAGGTTTCATGTGCTATATCTGAAGTATGCTGTATTGTTAAAACATCACCAAGAATGAAACGCATGAAGATGCCATGTTGCCCTCCCAAAAGAGTGCCTAAAGGTAATAGAATCAAGGCAGAATACCCTTTTTATGTGGTATGTTTTTCATGATAAACAAAGATGTCAAACTTGTTTCCTGGTGGACATAATTACCTTCATCAGATAGATATGCACAGCACTCTGCTAAGTGCTTGGGAGATACAAAGATAATGAAGGTATAATCTTAATCCTTATAGCCTAATAGATATATCACATACGCAAATAACTCTAATGCAGAAAAGGCTATGATAAATGTATAAAAGAAATAAAAATTACTATTTATGTAAGGACCAAAGATGGAAAATAATTTCTGATGATGGAGAGGAGGAAGATAGGCAATCAATGTATCTGTGTGTGTTGTGTGTGTGTGTGTGTGTGTGTGTGTGTGTGTGTGTGTGTGTGTGTGAAAGGGAGGGGTTGCAATTTGTAGGAGGTGATCTTTGACCCAGCTTTTGAAAGATGGGTATTACTTCAACATTTGAGGATGAGAGGGATGATGCTTCAGGCATTTGAATGTTGTAAGTAAATACATGGAGAAGGCAGAACAAAAGATGGAGTTAGTGAGTGGACCATCTTGGCTGAAATATATTGTGCCACTCTCATCGCTTGAGCAATGCCATATCCATAAATAGCGCTATGCTGAATCAGTTGATGAAATCCATTAGAGTGTTTGTCACCACTGAGACAGATGTCAGTCAGATAATTTCTTACTGGAAAGAGGCCCTTCAGCCAGAATTGGTGATTTTAGATAGAAAGATTATGATATCCACAATCACAGGCATTATTATTCCTTATGAAAATCATTACACATCCCTTGATTTAACTCAAACAGACAAAAAATCTAAATAGCAACCAGCACTCCATCTATCTAGCTCAGGAAACTTTTAGTGTATGTTTTAATGCATTGATTTTGAAAGTTCTTGGAAGATGGGATCCTTGCAATGAACCTATGCTGTCAAAATTAAAAATAGGGAAAGTGTTTTCAAATGATATACATGTTGATGTCTACAATACCATATAATGAAGCAAAGACATTTCTATTGAACATAGTGCTTTGAGGAGTAGGGTGTGAATTAATTATAAAAGCCAGGTGGCACAATGGATAGAGTGTCAGTCCTGAAGTCAGGAAGATTCATCTTTTTGAGTTCAAATCTAGCCTCAGACATTTACCTGCTCTGTGACCCTGGGCAAGACACCTGATGCTGTTTACCTCAGTTTCCTTATGTGTAAAATGAGCCAGAGAAGGAAATATCAGACCACTCCAGTATCTTTGCCAAGAAAATCCCAAATGGGGGTCACAAAAAGTCAGACATGACTGAAATGACTGAGTAACAATAACATTAATTATAAAAATGTGTCAGTGCGTTATATTGAGTGTGGAGCCAAATAAAAGATAATTGATATTTCTTATTGTAATTATTATTGTATTTTATGGTATTTTTATATTTTTCTCATTAGATATTTCTATAATTAGTTTAAAAATACCAATGATATTTTATTGCTTAACAACATTGAAAAAACTCCTTGATTTACTACCATTTTAGTTATTAATGTAAGTTAATAAAAATCTGTTTTCTGTCTTTCCACTTCCTGTTCAAAGTGGGAAAAAAAAGCAAAAGAAAATCCTCATAACAAACATATGCGGAGTTAAGCAAAAAGAATTCCCCTATTGGCTACTTTGAAAAAATATTCCTCAGTCTGTATGCTAAATGCATCAACTCTGTTACAAGATGGGTAGCATGTTTCATCATGGGTCCATTGGAATCATGGTTGGTTGTTGATATGTTCAGAGTTCTTGAGACTTTCGAAGTTGTTTGTCTTTGCAGTGTTTTTTATTATACAAATAGTTCTTATTCTGCTTGCTTCTCTCTGCATTGGTTCATATAAGCATAAGTTCATATAAGGTTTCTGAAACCATCTCCTTACATCATTTCTTATAGCACAATAGTATTCCATGACATTCATGTGCCATAATTTATACAGACATTTCACAATTGGTAGATTTTCTGAGATGTGGTTATTCAAATCTTTGAGATTCAATGTTTAGATTGCTTAAGTTCAGGAGTTCTGATTGTTTCTATGATTTGTTCTTTGACCGTTCATTCTTTAAGATTAGATTATTTAGTTTCCAATTAATTATTAATATATACTTCAAAGGCCTTTTATTGAATATAATTTTTATTGCCTTATGGTCCCAAAAGGGTACATTTAATATTTCTGCTTTTCTGCATTTGTTTGTAAGATTTTATGCTCTAACATATAATCAGTTTTTGTGAAGGTGCAATGCACAGCTGAGAAAAATGCTATGTTTGTTTGGAACTATGTCCAAAGGGCTATAAAAATGTGCATACCCTTTGACCCAGCAATAGCACTTCTAGGGCTATCTGCCAAAGAGATCATACAAATGGGAAAAGGACTCACGTGTACAAAAATATTCATTGAGAGGGTGCCCATCAATTGGGGAATGGCTGAACAAGTTGTGGTATATGAATGTAATGGAATAATATTGTGCTATAAAAAATGATGAACAGGCTGACTTCAGAAAAACCTGGAAAGACTTGTATAGTGTGATGCTGAGTGAAGAAAGCAGAACCAAGAGAACGTTGTACACAATAACAGCCATGTTGTGCAATGACTAATATTGATAAACTTAACCCTTCTCAGCAGTACAAGGATCTAAAACATCTCCAGAGGCCTCATGATGGAAAATGCTATCCACATGCAAAGAAAGAACTGTGGAAGTTGAATTGCTATTTTTCTTTTCTCTTCTGTTGAGTTTTGTTTCCTCTTTCTGATGGTTCCTCCTATTGGTTTTAATTTAAGTGTTCCCCAGTGACAAAAAAAAAGCTATTTTCCTTTCTATTTTTTTATTTCCTCCAGAAGTCTAGCATATTTAACCTTTCTAAAATTCTATTCATCTCCTTGACTTCTTTTTTATTTTATTGGTTAGATTTATCTAGTTCTGAGAAGGGAAAGTTGAGGTCCCCTACTGGTATAGTTTTACTGTCTATTTCCTCCTATAACTCATTTAACTTTTCCTTCAAGAATTTGGATGCTATGCCATTTGGTGGATATATGTTAAGTATTGATATTGATTCTTTATCTATGGTGCCTTTTAGCAAAATGTATTTTCCCTTTTTTAATTAGGTCTATTTTGCTTTTGCTTTGTCTGAGATTATAATAGCTACCTCTGCCTTTTTTACTCAAGCATAATAGATTCTGCTGTAGCCCCTTATTTAACTCTGTGTGTGTCTTCTGTTTCAGGTATATTTCTTGTAAACCGTATATTGTTGAATTCTGGTTTCTAATTTATTCTGATATTGCCTTCTATTTTATGGGTGAACTTTATGAGGTAGCTAAGTGGTGCAGTGGACAGAGTGCCAGGCCTGAAGTCAGGAAGACATCATCTTGAGTTCAGTTCTGGCCTCAGATATTTACTAGCTGTGTGAGCCTGGCAAGTCACTTAACCCTGTTTGCCTCAGTTTTCTCATCTATAAAATGAACTAGAGAAGGAAATGGCAGACCACTCCAGTATCTTTGCCAAGAAAACCCCAAATGGGGTCTTGAAGAGTTGGACATGACTGAAACTAACTACTGAAAAACAACAAAAAACCCTATTCACATTCTTAATTACGATTGCTAACTATGTACTTCCCTCCGTTCTGTTCTTTTCTATTTAGCTTTCTCTTTTTCAGTTTCTCCCCTCAACAAAAAACCCTATTCACATTCTTAATTACGATTGCTAACTATGTACTTCCCTCCGTTCTGTTCTTTTCTATTTAGCTTTCTCTTTTTCAGTTTCTCCCCTCCTCAAAAATCTGTTTTGTTTCTGACCCTCCCTCTTATCACTCTCCTTTCTCAGCCCCTTCCCTCCTACTTCCTTGTTGGAGAAGATGAATTTCTATATCCAACTCTGTGTGTGTGTGTGTGTGTGTGTGTAGTCTTCCCTCCTTAAACCAATTCAGATGAAAGTGAGATTCAAGCATTGCTTGTTCTTTCTAACCCCTCCCCCAATTTTCCCCTCTATTATAAAAACTCTTCCTTGTATATCTCATTATGTCAGATAATTTTCTGAACCCTTCCTCTTTCTTCCCCCTTCTCCTAATTTATCTCTCTTTCTCATCCTTTCATTCTTCTTTTGAAATCATTCCAATATATTAGACTCTCACCCATGCCCTTCTGTCTAAGTAAACTCTTAACTGCCCCAGTGATCATATTGTTCCTAGGGATTATGTGAATCATCTTCCCATTTGACAGTGTCCCTATCTCACCTGAGCAAGAAATAGAGTGGTTGCTCACAGGTTCAATTCCAATTCTAATTGGCACAGAAGATTTAACCTGCTTCACTTTTCTAATCTGGGCCCTTTTGTACCCTTCTGGTGGCCCTCCAGTCCTAGGAGCTTGCCATATTGGTGCCAGACTCAGTGTGGACATCCAATTGATTTGTGCCCTATTGCAGCTCAGAACTCCTGAACTCAAGCAATCTGTCAGTCTCAGACTCCCCAGAAATGGGGACTACAGGCATGTACAACCACACCAAGGCTTGTGTATGAATTTTTCCCTCCTTTAACCCATTCAGGTGAAAGTGAAGTCCATGTATTGCCCAATTCTTCCACCCTTTATTCTTTGCTTTTATAGTCTTCTACTTGTACACTTTGATGATATGAGATCCTTCCTCTTTCTTTTTCCCGTAGTGTATTCCTTTTCCCTTCCCTTTCCTTTCTTATTTTAAGGCCATCAAAACATAATAAATCCATTCCCAGGCCTTCCATGTTGACTCCCTTTGTGACCTTTGATGATATTAGGGTTTTGAGGGGACTTTTGTATTTTGTTACCCCTATTAGAATTTTAACACTTCATCCTTTTTTGGTCCCTTATGATTTGCGAGATTATATTTACCTTTTTATGACTGCTATGTTTGTATTTCAAAGTTTCTATGTGCCTCTAATCTTTTCATGAGGAAGCTCTCTATTTCATTAAAGATCTATTTTTTCTCCCTGTTGGATTATACCCAGTTTTTCT